TGGTGGAGGCTGGATTAGATCAACCTTGGCGTTTTCTTGGTTGTTGTCCAAAGTATTTAGTGCTTCTCATGCAGCAGGCACACCATAAGATACGATTTTCCAGGAGCAGACTGAGACCCTTTGCAAAGACAGGTGCTTCTTGCAAAGATCCTGTTCCTGAGTTTGCATCCGCTGAGGACAATCAAGCAAATTTGGATCATGCTGCTAGAGGGCCAATGAAGAGATCTGAGGTATACCTTTAGTCTATGGCTCTCCTGGGCCTGGGGAGGGTGTCAGTGGAGCATGGGGAGGGTGTCAGTGGACCTTCAGAATCGACTCAAAAGGGTCCATGGTCCACGCAGCTTTTGCTCAAATGGCATGGCTCCCATGCTTCTGATATTGAACCCCTTTGCAGCCCATCGTGCTCAGCAGAGCACGGTCATTCAGAGTGGTCAACACCCTGTGACCATTCTATAGCGAGATGCTTGCCAGCAAGAGCCAGGACCACTCCGTAGCCAATAGAAGGGTCAAAAAATATGTAGTACGTGGTGCAATAGATGGGAACAACTAGAACAACTCAGCAGTAGTGAGTTTGCACCCGGAGGTTTTGATACGTGTTTCACTGTTCCAATTGTATTGGGCCGGGAACCTTATCCACTGGTTTTAAGCAAGGGACTTCCTTTTGGAAAGCAAGAGGCTTCCCGTGCAGCTCATGTTTGGTATGTTTGTGTCTCTCGAAATGGGAGAAACGCGCTGCAAGGCCAGGAGGGTGAAATGCTACATCGACATGCTCTACCATGCTCTACCTGCTTTTTGACTAGTTGAACCGTGAGAGAATCTGCAGATTTCGTTGGTCAATGCCCCCCCCTGGCAGAGTTAATGCCTGCTAGGCATGTGCCCTAATGGATCGCCCTAAGAAGACGATCAGCTTCATCCAACCGATCGCTGCACCGGCCCCAACCGGTGCGTCGGTGACCGTGCCTTTGTTGGCATTCAGGATGAAGGCTCTCCATATCTTCACGATTCTCTGGTCCACTGGATGGGCCCTGCGACGCAGAAGCCATTCAGGTCGCAAAGAGGCTGGGAGATGTTGAAAGATCAACGGACACCGTTCCTGCTACTTAAGTTGTGCCATGTTGTGCCTTCAGTTCTTGATGCTATACTGGACGTTTGACATGTGGCTCCGAGACCATGATTTTGCAATCATATGTAGTATCATATGTGTAGACAAGTAGGCCTAGGTTCTAAGAAATGTCCCTGATAGATAGGTTATGGATCAGATGAGGTGCTAAAATGCACATATATCATCCCACCAAAGAAAAGCACATTTTGCCACAAAACATTTCGGCTCCCTGTTCTGAGCTTCCGACTTACCCCCCTTCCCCCCCAAACAAACAAACACAAATCATTTGGACACTGCTGTGCAGGTCTTTGTGCACCTTTTCGAGTGGTCCTGGGAAGATGTCGCCAAAGAATGCGAGGACTGGCTGGGCCCCAAGGGCTTTGATGCCGTGCAGGTCTCACCACCGGCCGAGACCCGGCGGCTGATTAAGACCGGCCGTGCCGTGTTTGGAGCGAGGTCGGTACTTTAAGAGCGGCTGGATTTGAAGGGAACGGATACTTGCAGAGTTACATGGCTGAGACATCAAGAGTTACAAGTTTGCAGCATCTAAACTCAAATCACTCTGTACTCTCAACATGTCACACCTTTAGTGAACCTCCTTCCTAGACCTCCTGGCCCGAAACGATACACAGGGACCGGGACCGGCTCCTCCCCTTTTCGCCCTCCGGACGGACTCTCTGAGGAACACATCCAGGGAACGCCTTGGTGGACTCGCTACCAGCCGGTGACCTACAACCTCACGAGCCGCTCCGGAGACGAGCAGGCATTCGCGCAAATGGTGCAACGCTGCCGCGGCGCGGGCGTGAAGATCTATGTGGATGCGGTGTTGAACCACTGCGCAGCCACCTGACCCGAAGGAAGGAAGTCCGTAGTTGAATGGGAGGTGTTTTTTGGTCATGTTTGTTTATGCTTTTCGAAAGCTTTTGTGTTTTGGGGTGGGCAGGGAAGGGTCGCCTTCCTCCTGATCCAACCGCAAGAAATGGCTGGGCGGAGGTCAAAGAAAGTTCACAAGGATGAAACTGGGTGTAAGTCGACTCCATGCTGATGACTAGTGTGATGATGAGTTTACCTATTTGTTGGGCCCGTTTTACTGTCTTTGTCAATTGAGTTACTCGTAACACTAGCTAGTATTTATACATTATACTTCTTTGCTCAAGCTATTGTATTGAACATGCCACACATAGGGGACTCTAGTGAGCTTCGCCTAATCACCATTTGCCCAAACTGGTGTCTCTTCCTTGTTCTGCATTTGGTGGTTTTAGGTGGAGAATGTCAGTCTTTTTGTTGCTTTACGTGGAGCGTTTGAGATATACAAATGATTAGTGTGTGTCCCATGACCTGTAACAGTCAATGAAGAAAAAAAAACACGATTTTCAAGAAAGACCTTTACTAAGCAACATCATCCACTGGTACAGGAAATGGGATACACCCAACATATCCCAAATGATAGATATAAATATCTCGCCCCCCTGGTCCCGCCTGTGAGGCATCCACCGGGACCTCCATCACGGGAAGCAGCTATGGTCCCCGGAAGACGCCCATCTTTGAGCCGAAAGATTTCCACCACACAGGTGGAGACCGGGGACTGTGAGGGGAGACCGGGAGGTTGGGAGGGAGGGAGATGGATGATTACTGACTACTGCTTGGTTGGGAAGTTGATGGATGATAATGATAGGTGAATGAAATGTCGGGGACTGGGTGGTCCAGGGTTTGGCATGTTTTGGCTAGGAAGTCTGGGGGACCATGTTTGGTTGGAAGTGGGAATGATCAAACATAGCCGTAGCCACAAGCATAACTAGATCATCCATGGAACAGGGTTTCTGGCTGAAAAAAGGTGGAAGCCTTGGCTGGTGGGTTGGACTGAGCAATTAAAGGGTGTGACCAATGCGCACAGAAAGCGCTATATTAGCCAACTCCTTGGTGCAGGAAAGAAAACCACATCCCCCAGACATCCCCAACTTTCTTTGGCAGTCCTGGTGGAATTTTGGAGGTGCTGATGCTGAAAAGCGGGTCTTCCGTGCAAGGCAGGGCAGATCGTTTCCACCGAGGGAACATCGATGGGACTTTCCTCTTCATCGATGGTTTCATCGTGATGGTTTCAGACCCCGCCTTGAAGCCAAGCATTTGGCATCATGGACTATATATAGTGTTCATAGGCCCGTTCTCACTGACAGTGGGTTGCCCAGTGCTTTGCACGTGTTTTGAGGTCAAAAGGATCTGGCACTTTTTTGCTATCCGCAATCGAGATTCGATCGCGATCGCAGGAAATGACTTGACCAGCAACTGTGGGGTGAGCGACTTTTCAGATATACACAACGTGCAATATTGTGATCTCCAAGGCTTGCCAGCCGCTTGGATCCGTCCGCCATGGACCGCATGGACCACGGCATTGGCTCGTTCGACCCGGATGGGTCGAGTGGGAGCGAAGCCGTTTTCGTGACGGTGACGGTGCTCGCCCTTGTTTTGGGGATGGTTCGGTTGGGCGGTCCGTGAAGCGGTCACTGAGATGAACGGATGACATTTGTTTGGCTATATCAAACTTAAGTGTGCACAAGGACATGTAGACTCTTGATTGATAAAAAACACTGCATTTGGATTGGACAAAACATCTTCAGGCCTGGGGGCCTGATCATAATTACGAGTCTACATTGCTGAAGCCATGTGGATATCGTTTGCACTCTTGTCATGTTCTGGCATAACTGCATGTGATTGCACAAGATGAAGGGCAACAATGGCTAATACAACTGTATAAGTGTATATATAACTGTTTGATGTACTCGGATGAGGCCTGCAGTGGTTCAACACCATGGTGGCTGCGGTGTTGAACCACTGCGCAGCCTTCCTTCCGAAACATCAAACGAATCGTGGGCCCTCCATCTGCTGGATCTGTGGGTTCTCCACTACTTGGAGGTACGGTTTGGAGGTACGTTCCACTTCTTTGCGGTACATACCATAAGTGTGTCAAGACTTCAAGACCTTCATCTAAGGACCTTTGTACAGACTGTGAGGTTGTGCAAGACAAGATGGCGGCCTACTTGTGCCATGGTGAGAAGTGGTGGTGTGCGCTACTCATGTTATATACTATAATACTACTCATTTCTATTGCCTAAGTCTTCTTTTGGGGCTTCATAATCTTCACAATCCTTTGCAGACATGTATTCTTTAGGCAATGTTCAATATTGGATGGCCCGCAGCTGAGTGAACCAAGGGCCTTAGGTTGGCAACCTATGAGTTATAGATGTTCTTCTTCAGGGGCGCATGTTTAGGTCCTTTGTGGACATTTGTAGAACAACAAAGGTAGGCTTCGTAAATCAGGTGGCATATACTACTTACAGTACTACTTACACTGCAGGTGAAACCATCTACACAAACCTAAACCATCTCACTTTGCCACCCGTGGCCGGGGCCGTTCGGGGAGGTGTTTAGGTCCTGGACTCATCCGTCCGGCGAGTCCAATGGATCTCCGAACTGGCTGGGCGGTCGTCCGGACGACCAGCACAGCAGGGGGTCTCGGGTTCCGTGGTGAATTCCGAAGGGCATCAAACAGGAAGGCTATGTCCATGCCAGTGCAGGTCACTGGCGTTTTTTTGTCTAAGAGTCTAAGGCTAAGGTGTTTTTGGGGGGTTGCTGGATGTGTGTGTGTGTGTGTGTTTCAGTTGAACAGGTTTTCCCAAGCACCTGGCAGGAATGGTACGATGACGAAAAACACCATTGCCAGCATATCAGGCTGATCCCTAA